AACGACGCAAATGAGAGAATGGGTTTCTTATGTAGATGAGGCGCGTAGTGTCTTCAGACTGTTGTTTCCGCCAGATCGTAAGGTGGGGAGCAACCGATGTGCCCCCATTCATCGAAAATTTTGCCACCTCCTGCAGTGGGGGTTTTTGGAATAAAAATAAGCAAAGAAAATTTAATTAGTGGGGGAAGTTGAAGTGGAAGAAGAGATCGCGGGAAAGCAGAAAACAAATAATAAATCACATTTTATTTCGATCCTAAAATAGCTGGATTTATAGAAGTTATTCTAAAGAATTTTGCCAAAAATTGGCGCCAGGCTGAGGCGCTGTACTTTTCTCAAAGATTTTTTTACCAGCGTATTTTGAACGTGAAAAGTGCGCGAATCAGCTCTACTAAACCAAAATCTCAGTGTATTTCAAATGAGTTATATTATCATCTTTGGGAATAAGAGGAACATTTCGCTTTTACTTCGCGCTTCTCTCTTTCCTCCTTCCTCATGAGGTAATATTTTTGTTACTAATTCACTTTTTTGACCAATAACCTGAATAACATTTTCCTCCTTTCTCAGTGACTACCGAAATAGGTGTTTTATTTTTCCGGGAAAGGAGGAGGGGGGAGAGGAGGAGGGGGAAGGAGGGAGAGAGAGAAGGGAGGAAAAGGGAGAATTATGAAAAAGAGGTCCTTTAGAAGTTTTTTTTATGTTTTTTTTTTGTTTTAGGATATTTTTCGTCAAGTTCTTTATCACTTTTCTCATTTCAGAATCAGTCGCTGCCATATTTGAGTATTTTTCCAGTTTTTCAGTAGTTTTTATTGGTAACTTTTTTGTTCCATAGCTGCTGGGTAAAGATTTTCGTTGTAAAACATGCTCATATTTGCATTATTGCATTTTTGCCCCGTTTCATGTGATTTATTTCAGCCGAATGGTCGTTTCCAGTTGCACAAAAAAATATGCCTCAGCATTTCGGGCCATCATCCGGAGTCCTGGCGGCCATCCTGGTCCAGTATGTTACTTTCTTAATAATAATTCCGCATCATTTAAAAGCTTTTTTTCCAGTTCTTATTGTGCAGTAATTTAGTTCGCACCGCACTTCTGGCACTTATTGGTTTCATGCCAACTCATGCAGCCGGTGCACTTGGTTCGCTTGAGTATCCAGCCGAAGAGCGACGAAGACTGGCCAAGCTGTACGTTTCGCTTTCGATTTCCACAGAAATTTGCGTTTTTCAGTTTGCAGTTCACCAGAATGTCAGTTTTATAAATGTTTAAGAAGCCAAGACTGGGTGTGCAAGGAATGCGGCCTGTGCATGCGAGACGCTCTGAAAGATGGGGCTGCGGCCGGTGATAGCGCAGACGCTGCAGAAGCCCGCAATTTGGCCAAACAGGTCTCCTTCAAGGTCGTTTAAATTTTCCTTTTTTTATGCGTTTTTTGCATCTATGCAATACAAAAATGCAAATTGTTGAGGGGTTGTGGGTTTGTGTCTCTGTGGGTGTTTGTTTATCTGTATGTTCGTCTGTACCAATTTTTCATCTCCAGAACTACAAAAGCTACACTCTACATTCATGTACAGGCCCCATCGCTAAAATGAGCGCTCTTGTCCACGTGGTCTTCACGTACGAACCCGTCAAATTTTTTTGCGGGTAACTCGGGAGCCTGAAAAGCTAGAAAGCTGGAATTTTAAGGTAATGTTCCCCGTCAAAGTAGGTCTTACTGAGTTCAAACCCAGCCCCCAGGTTTACGCGGTTCCCAAGTACGGGCCCGTGAATATTTTTTACGGGTAAATTGCTAACTTAGGGAACTGAAAAGCTAGAAGGCTGGAATTTAAGGGGGTGTTTTCTCACAGTCGTGGTAGCCGTCTCAATTCTTTTAGCTAGAAACATCTGGCGAAAAATTTAGTGCTGTTAGCGACAAAAACCTGTGGAGAACTGTGCAAAAAACGCTCTTCGCACCGAAAGTCGGTGCGTTTGCCTATTATTTCTTCTTTTATCCCTTTTCTGTACATACTGAGAGAAGTGGTGTAAACTGAGGATGGGCTGGATTTTAAGAATTCCAGTCAGTCACTGCATGCAGTGCTTATTTGAGTCCACGGATGCCTTTCATGAACCATTGGACGTGTTTAATGCGGTTTTAAAGGATTTTTCTTGGCTTAAGCATTTGTGGCTTCCATTTTGGCACAATCTCCTTACGTTACAGGATGAAAATGAGGCGAAACAGAAAGAAGCGGACGACACTGATCAGACTGTGCACGCAATGGGTGATGGTATTGGTCGAAATGAGTGCGCGCAAGACTCAGTGGACACGGCGGAGAATTTACGTCCGAGGCGCTTGCAGCAGCAACAGCAGCAGGAGCAGTCAGAAGCCGAGCTCAGCACTGGCACGGGAGATGTGCTGGAGTCGTCGTCGCGCACCTATTCCTGGGAATTACTTGGCATATTGCTACTTTCTTTTCTGGTTCTTGGCCTGGTGATGCGACGACTCTTCATTGTCCAGGGTTTCAATCAGATGATTTGATTTGCTGCGTCAGTGCGTCTTGAGTCTCTACCAGCCAGTTTTCTTTTGTATCGAGGACCATCGAGTCATGCGCTTGCTTCTGTTTCTTATTCTTTTTTTTATCGCAAATTCAAAACGTCTAAGATTTTATACCTGCTTTATTCATTCCTCCAGCAAAAGGCGGTTATAATTTG